TTAGCAAGCCATTAAAAGGAGATTGAAGTATTTCTAATGTGTCCTGTATCTCTGTTATTCACATGTTCCGTACACTTGTACTGGTGATCTTTCATGTTACACAGCAATGAAGCCAGAGATGGGACATGCAAAGGTGTGTTCACTTCCTTCAGGGAATGAAGAGGATATGTACCCCTTAGATAACAAAGTCAATAGACCAAAGATCAAAGTAGTTCTGGGCCAGGATGGAAGAGTCAACATGGGAGATGGCTGAGTGGCTTAACCCTACCATCTGTTTCATAGTTTCAATAAAGTAATCAAGCAACGTTCCATTAGAGGGATTTAGGGATCATTACATACACAATTTGAAGGCATACTGGGTTGGGGTTGCGAATTCTGTTCCTTGGTTCAGTAGTAAAAAGGAGAGGGGATATCCCTGCAAGGTAGACAAGATTTAAAAAAAAATAAAATATAATACTGGAAGTCAAACATGGTTGAAGGCAGAAGGAACTCGGTGGTCTAGTGGCAAGAAGCTGTGCTGCAATTCTGAAGGTATGTGGTTCAAGGCCACCAGCTACTCCACAGAAGGATGGGCATTCTCCCCCCATGCAATTAACTGCCTCTGAAAACCCGCTGGAGGGTCAGCTATGAGTTGGTTCCGACTCTACAGTATTCAACAACAAGAATTGTAGAAGAAGAATCGATAACTTTGAGTTGTGGTGCTGGAAAAGAGTATTGAATATACCATGGACTTGCCAGAGAGCAAATAGGTCTGTCCTGGAGAGGATGAAAGCAAGTTGCTCATTGGAGGCAAGGATTTTGAACCTTCATCAAACATGCACTAGGCATATTGCCAGGAGTGACAGCACAGGAGAGGGAGCTCCTGGATGTGATGGACTGACACAGTAACTAGGGTAATGAGTGTAGGTTTGGTGTAGATGGTGAGATTGATTCATTCAGGATAGGGAAGAGTTCAGAGCTTTTGTGCATAGTGTCACTATGAGTCACAGGCGATTCAACAGCACATAACGGCGTTTTTGCAAAGAGTATTATATGCCATGTGTCATCTTAGTGGGTTTTTAATAGCCATCATCACATTTAACACTTAAAATAACTAGATATAACGATTTTTTTTTCCGTCCCATTTGAGATGAAGCCATTGACACAGAGTTTAAGTCATTTGCTCTGCAACACAGAGCTCGTAAAGGACAACGGATTTGAATTTTTATTCTTTGGGCCTAACTATTAATATGCTCAGAGGTAAGAGGAAGGCCAGCACTGCAGGAGCTAATAAGTAGGGCTATTTGGTAGAACAAAAAACCCTAGATCCCATGAAGGTGATGGGGCGTTTAGCCTCCGTTTTGAAATTTTGTAGAGAAGGATGTCTGGCGTATACTGGGCAACTTGTTGCAATCATACTGATGCAGCTAATTCAACCAAGAGAGAAGTAGTTTGTATTTGGTGTGTTTGATGGTAGAACAGCCTTTCTGTGTGGCTTTTACACTAAGCTTGCTGACTTTTACCCCTGTAGTCATCTGTGAATTGACTTTGATGTGTCTGGGAGTCATTTCATGCTCTGGAAGCCCGAGGCTGTTTGGTGATATCACACTCCAGGATGGAGGATGGAGTGGAAAGTCTGCTCTCTGGCACCCGGAATTTCTAGGGACGTTTTCACACTTCCTGCTACCTTTTTTTAAAAAAAATTTTAATCTATTATGTGCTTAATTTGTAGCAAGCAATTAAATGTGATGGATTTGTAAAGCTTGTTGGACATTGTCTAGCATGTCTCAGGTACTATTTGGTCATTTGTTAAACAAACAAATAAAGCAATATTCTATTTCTGCTATCTCCACAGAATATGTCAGGGATTCCACCTGGACTCAGATGCGCCAGTCAGATCCTAGGTGTATGTAGCTACCAGGGGTCAGCGTGAAGGAGGCAAAACAAGGGGCTAATTACTTACAGGACACTGAGATCTTATCGAAGGTGATGGAAATAAATGGAACCGTATACTAGAGATAGTCGGACAACATGATAAATATAATTCACGTCATTGAGTTGTACCTGTAAAGAATGTTGAAATGGCAGGTGTTTGTCAAATATGTATTTACCACAACTTTTTTTACAAGTGCTAAGTGGTTATAGCTGTTGACCCTTAACCTTCTTCATATAGCATCTATGCTTGGCCATTAGTAGGTGCTTTTCTTGTCCTGGCACTGTCCACAACACTGCCTCTTAGCCATTTTCCTGTGTCATTAGGTTGATTGATGTTACCAGAGAAGAGTTCTGTTTGACTGCCAGACCCTTTACGCCGCTCAGACCTGGCCCCGGTCATCCCATTCTTTCTTGTTAATTATTTGACGCTTTTCTGAAGATTAAAAGAATTTTCTTTTCATCCAGCTTCTTTAGTTGTTTTAGTGAAGGGCAGATTTCATTTACCTCGGTCGTTACTCGTGTATCCCATGTAAGAGCCTAACAAGGTAAGTAGTTTTCCGATTTCGACACATAAGGAAAATGAAGCAGAGTGTTTCTGTTCCCTGGTGAGCGTCCTAGAGCCCTGGTGGCATATGGGTAGGGAGTCCTACTGCTAATGGAGGGTTGATAGTCTGTTCTTGGGAAGATTTACAGCCTTAGCAACCCAAGGGAGGGCCACTGTGAGTGAGAATCAGTTGGAGGCAGTGGGTCATAGGGCTGAAAATGAGAGGAACTTGAATGCAAACATGGACAGTCTAGTTTCAGAACTTGGGTCCTTAATTACCCACCATGTTTGCTCATATTCTTTCTTCATAAAGGCAGTAAAACAACTTCCTCATTAAAAGCCCTTTTTTTAAAAGGCAAACTAGTCTTCACCTGAATGTGCTCCATGTGCAGCTTATGTCATAGCTTGGCAAAAGCCTACCTAGAGAGAATTTAATATCAGTAAAAAAAAAAAATTAAAAAAAAATATATATATTTATATTTATATACACACACACATACATATGTGTGTATATATATACACACACATATATATATGTATCTTGTGTATAGATAATATTCTTGTGTACCTATAATATTCATATGTATATGCAATATTCATGTATATTATATTCCTGTATCCATGGGTGATGGACATAGTTAGCACGCTCAGCTGCTAACCTAAAGGCTGAAGGATCAAGTCCACCCAGACACAACTTAGAAGACCTGGCAGTCTGTTTCCAAATCATCAACTATTGAAAACATTGTGGAGAACAGTTCTTTCCTGAAACACACAAAGTTGTTATGGGTCAGAATCAACTCCATGACACTTGGGTTTAAGATATATTCTGCATATTTTGAAATGGTGTAACATTGTGTACACACACACACACACACACACACACACACCCCTACCCACCCACCCACCCTGCATGGTTGAGGGAGCTGAGAGAGGTCCTGCATTGAAGAGGGGAGACTTTGCCTACATCTCTCCTAAGCCCACTGATCGTGATCTCGTGTGTAAGTATGGTTTGGGAGGTCTGTGTGGCTCTTGCTAGGATTTCCCAAACCCACAAGGTGAATGCTCTGTGGGAGAGTGCTCTAGTGGCCTGTTGTTGTTGTTGTTGTTGTTATTGTTGTTGTTGTGTACCATCAAACTGGGACTGACCCATGGCTGATCCTCCAGTGGGTTTAATGGCAGTAAATCACATGAGAGGTGATTGCCCATCTTTCTCCCAAGGAGCAGCTGATGGATTTAAACCACATACCTTTGTGTTGGCATCATGATTCCTTACCACTGCAATGCCAACCAAAAGACAATGGTTTAAATACACCAGCTGCCCCACAAAAGAAAGATGAGAAGTCTCTCCCTGTGTGGCTCACAGCCTCCTCTATAACCACCCTGTTGGGTCAGCTATGAGTTGGTTCCAATTCTGTGGCACATAACAACAACAGTAACATAAATAATCATTTCATTAGTTCCCAGTTTTTGTAAGGTAAATCTATTTTCATTTTGTTGTGATTATAATAAAAGTTCCTCATCTCAGCTCATTGTCATTGAACCAAAGTGACTCAGAGACGATTGCATTTCTGAGACTATAAATCACATGAGAGGAATGGCCCATCTTCTGAGGAGCTGCTGGTAGATTGAGAGTGATACAATCTTTAGATAAGCAGTACAACTGCTTATAGACTTCTTATAGACTAGAGAGTGCTTTTCAAGACAAAAGTTGGTTTTCCACTCAATCATACATACACATTGTAACTGCCTTCTTCCCACTTCCCCTCTATGATTCTAATTTCCATTAATCTTTCTGTCCTGCCCCTTCCTACCTTGTGAACTTCTTTTAACTGGGCAAATTTGTGCTCGATCTTACGTGGTCGATTATTCAAAGGAGTGAGTACTTCCTTGGTATTTTAACTGGTCACCTTATAAGCTTCCTTATTGTTTGCCCAAAAATTAAGTCACAGAGGTAAGTTTTATTTCAGGTTCTATCAGTCTTAAGGGGAAAGAAATTATTTTGATTTTGCCAAAGTATCTATATTGTTTTATTGAATTTGATTAAGGCATACAGAGATGAAACATACACATCCAGTAATTGGACCATTTGAACTTGTAAATTAGAAAGAAAAATTTTAAGTTGAAAATGTTTGTTTTAAACTTTGATTAGCTGGGGGAAATGACATCAGTAAATAGGACTAAAAATGTACCCTTTGTGTGTAAGATCTCGTTTGAGAGAAAAAAAAAAAATCCTTGGTAGTTTGTCAAAGTGAAACTTTTATGCACTTAAAATGTCCAAAAACCCATTGGGACAACCAAGGCCCCTCCCAAGTGCTAAATGAGTTCAAATACATGCCACAGCAGTCCACCTGAGAAATCAAAGGCCCAAGTCACCAACCGTGAGAGCACCGTCATTGTTTCTGTTCCAGGTTGAGAAGATGCAGCTCTTCATGTGTCATGCTGATTTGGCCTTGTTCTTTTTTCCTAAACAAAGCTGTGCGCTGCACTGTTCTGCCTTTGGTGAAAGTAAATGCCTAACACGTATTCCAATTTGTATTTACAGAGAAAAAGACAAGCATATGAATCTAATCTCATCTGTGATGGCCTTCAGCTAGAAGCAACGAGATCAGTAAGTATTAGCCCCTTGGAGTCCTTGGCTTTAGTGCCTTCAATGCTGGAATGCTGGAAACATTCAACCCAGCCACACCTTGGTCCTCACGCTGGGAGAGAAATCTATGAAAATCTGTGAAATACAAAACGATAGATCTTTCGTCATAACCAAAGAACATCATAATAAATACAGTTCTAAAGGACTGTGCTTTCTTAGAACTATTTAAACTTTTATTTTTGTATTTGTACAAATAGTAAAGTTTTAAAACTTAGAAAATGTAAGATAATAAAAATAAAAGTTATCTGTGTCTATACTCACAGGAAAGAAATTAGATATACTTTTGTATTTATGCATTTTCCCTTTCAAAAAGTGGAATTATCTTACAGATTTATAATTAGATTCTTGACTATGGGATAAATGTATTTCTATAGCAATAGATACTGTTTACATCCTTTCTGTGACCATATAACATGCTATTGAAAACATAAAGAAGCAGCTTTTTTCTAGGTTTAGAAAATTCAAAATTACTACACTAAGTAACACTACAGGGAATATGCTAGTGTTCCTTGTACACCACGTTTTCAGTCTCTAATTTGGAGATCATACCGAAACAAGTTTTAGGGAAGAACCACAGCACAGATTTTCATTTCTTGATATCAGTAACTCCAATTATATCAGTACCCCTGTGCTTTTTCCCCTTCTCCTTAATCTTGGATAGGGAGACACCATTAGTTGCCCCTTAAAAATTTTTATTTATGATGGTTTGCAAATTTATTTTTATTCTAATATATTTTCACTTTTTTGTGGTGTGTGTATTTCCTTTTCTGAAACTACCAAAAACATAAGAAAAATCTTGGTGTTTTATAACTGTGCAGAAAATAGTTTGGTTTTCTTTCTATTTCTGTTCTTCTCACATAGCTTTTGGATGACAAGCTTGTATTTGTAAAGGTGCATGCACCTTGGGAGGTGTTATGCACGTATGCAGAGTTAATGCACATCAAGTTGCCTCTGAAACCCAATGATCTGAAAACCCGGTTCTCAGCCTTTGATGGTTTAAACTGGTTTACCAAAGTCCTAAGAGTGGATGAAACTCTCATCAAGCCAGAGCAAGAATTTTTCACTGCCCCATTTGAGAAGGACCGGATGAATGATTTTTACATTCAAGATAAAGATACCTTCTTCAATCCTGCCACCAGAAGTCGCATTGTAAGTCTAAACCCAAATTAATTGTTGTCTTGGGGTGACTTTGAAGGATATTGTTGAATAATTAGTGTTGTGTTTGATTGGTTTATTTTTTTATTTAAAAGTGCCAAAAAATATAAAAAAGTATGCCTGCAGACTATTGTTAACCACAGTAAAACAGTGAATGGTTTTAGTTAACACTGTTAAGCCACATACTCTATTTTGGAATCATTTTAGGTTTACTTCATCCTCTCTCGGATCAAGTACCAGGAAAGGGAAAACATTAACAAGTTTGGGATTAACAAGCTTGTAAGCTCTGGCATCTATAAAGCAGCTTTCCCTCTTCATGATGTAAGTCAAATGGCAAAATGAAATAAAATGCCATCTTAAATTTCTTTTTTGCTAAAATAAAGATGATATTCTACAAGATTGTAAATTGCTCTAGGACAAGAACTGTGTTTTCTATTTGTTAGCCTTTATTTTTAACTTATTTTTATTTTAGTGAAAGTTTACAAAGCATATTGGATTCTCTTGTACTTTTCATCTTTTCTGACATTTATGTAGATTATTATTCTAGAGTGTTAATGTCTCCCTGGTGTTGATGGTCACCTTACAGTTCTTTATATTATGTGTCTGAAAATTAAGCCATAGAGATAAATTTTGTCCTGGGTTTGAGCGTGAGTAAGGACTGTAGTGTCACGGGTTCCCTTAGTTTGTATTGGACCAAAAAGCCAGTACGTTTTTATGTTGTTGAGTGTTGTTCTATACTTCCTCCCACTCTGTCCAGGATTTTCTACTTGTTATCCTTGTTTGTAGTAATCAGTTATGTTAACCAGCTACCATCGAGTTCTTCTGGTCTCAGGGTTGTCATAGAAAGGGAGTTTTGCGTGGTTCTTTAGCCAGTCATTTGAACTAGTTATTTCAGCACATCCTTGCTTTTCTTCTCTTGTCTTTATTCAGTTCAAGGAGAGACCAGTAGTTGCTCCTTCAATGGTTACTCATAAGATTTTTTTTTTTTACTCATAAGCTTTTTTTTTTTTACTCATAAGCTTTTTTTTTACTCATAAGCTTCTTTTTTTTTTTTTTACTCATAAGCTTTTAAGATTATAGTTGCTACTCACCAAAGTAAAATGTAAAATATTTTCTTTGTGAGCTGAGTTATACCAGCTGACCTTGATGTTCTCAGAGACCATGGTCTCAAGGTCTCAGGTCCAGCTACTCGTTCCCTCAAAGTATTTGACTGATTAACGTTCCTACATAGCTTCACCCCTGTAAGAACTGTGCTGCTTTGTTCACTGTTGAATCCCAGGCATCGAAAAAGTGCCTAATTTAAATTAGGCCTATATAAATGAATGAACAGCATCTATCCCACACATAATGTAAAAGTAGTTAGATGAGTGTTGTTGTTGTTATATAGCGTCAAGTGGGAACCTACATGTTGCTATACCTCTAGTGGGTTTTCAGAGGCTGTAAATCATATGGGAGGAAATTGTCCATCTTTCTCCGATTTGAACCACATGCCTTTGGATTGCCAGCACAACTCCTTACCACTAAGCCATGATAGCTTAGTAGCTAAAAATAGTATCAACTCTGGTACTTATAGCTTAGAATCCTTGGTGGCATGGTGGGTGAAGTGTTAGGATGCAAATCAAAGTGTTGATGATTTGAACTCACCAGCTACTCCCCAGGAGAAAGATGAGACATAGGACAATTCTACTCTGTCCCATGTGGTTAACTGTGAGTCAGAATCAACCTGAAGTCAGTGGGTTCAATTTTGGTTCCTTAATTTTCTTATCTATAAAGTGGGAATAATAATGGTCCTTAGCTGATGGTGTTGTTATGAGGTTAACTTAAATCAATCCATGTGTTGAGTTAGAAACATTCCTAGCCCTGGGAGTAGTGTGTCACAAATTGGGCTGCTAACTGAAAGATCAGTGGTTCAAATCCACCAGTTACTTCTTGGAGAAAGATAGGCAGCATTCATCCATAATGATCTGCGACCTCAGGAACCTGATAGAGGGTTGCCATGAGTCAGAACTGACTCTATAGCAATGGGGGTTTTTTGGGTTTGGGACACTTAAGTGTTAAGTAGAGAGTCAATGAAAGCACAAGAAACCCTCAGTGAGACAGGTTGACATGGAAGTCACAGTGGCCTCAAACATACCAGTGACCCTGAACATGGCAACAGGCTAGACAACATTGTTTTCCATGAGTCAGAGTCAACTAAATAGCAGCTAACATCAACCCCAAAGTATTAGCTGTTTTTGTAATTGCTGACAGATAGGATTGTTGTGTGTACCATCAAGTCAGAACCAACTCATCGCTGACCTTCTGGCAAGTTTTCAGGGACAGTTAATTGCATGGGAGGAGATTGCCCATCCTTCTCCCGCAGAGCACCTGGTGGATTCAAACTGTGTGCCTTCAGGATTTCAGCACAGCTTCTTTGCCACTAGGCCACCAGAGGGGGGGGGGGAGGAGTTATTTATATGGAAAACATATATTACATCTCATTTATCATATTAACATAGATTATTTTTTCCTCTCAAAATATAAATTTTTCAATGTTTATTGGAATATCCCAGAAAACTGTGTCAGAATTCTTGTCATAATGGATGGTCAGCAAATCCTTGATACTTTTTAAGAGCTACATTCTGAGAATTTAATAAGTTCTCAAATTCAAGAGGTTCTCTAACTTAGAATAGCTCCTATGAAGTGAAATTTTAAAATTGTGAACACCTCACACCTTTAATGGTTTGCAAGTGCAGTATCATCATATCCAAAGAATTTTTAGAAATTTTATCACAGAAATAGAGACCATTATATATCATATTATATTCTTTTACTATATTCAACACCAACTGTTGTATTCATTTTACCTGGATCTGTTAGATCAAAGAAAGCAAACACTGAGGTTGCTACTGCATGATACAGATGTGCATGGGTTGAAACAACAATTAAATATAAAATTAGGGCAGGAAAGGAATAATTCCAGTTAAAGCCACATAGCATGTTCCTTCAGGAGATATCACCTTGATGCACATAGATAAACAGAGAACCAGGAAGCTGGGCAGGGAAGCAAATGTTGAGCTTCCTGACCCTATGACCTAATGTTCAACCTCATAGTCTGTGCTTTAAATTTATACCCCAGCAGAATTGCTGATTACGGTGTGAATTTTGAGGACACACTGAGGATAAACTATGAGAACATTCACATATTTTTGTTTGTTATTGTTATCTGCCATCAAGTCACTTGCAACTCATAGTGACCCTAAGTATAACACCTCTGAACCTTGCTCTATCCTGGGCCAAGCTTGGGCTCTCTGACACACCTATCCCCATTACCACAGTCACTGAATCAATCCATCTCATCAAGGGTCTTCCTCTCTTGTGCTGTCCCTCCACCCTCCCAAGTATGATGTCCCTTTCCAAGGACTAGTCCCTCCTTGCAACATGCCCAAAGTATCTCAGACGAAGTTTCAGAATCCTTGCCTCCAAGGAGCAGCCTGGCTTCACCCTCTCTAGGATGAACTTATTTATTCTCCTAGCCACCCATGGTATATCCAATACTCTTCTCAAACACCACAGCTCAAAGGCATCAATTCTTCTTCTATTATCCCTAGTCAGTGTCCAGCTTTCTGATGCATAGCAAGTAATCACAAAGACTATAGCCTGGATCAGATGCACTTTAGTCTCCAGGCTGACATCATTGATTGCTCTTCAGTACTCTGGAGAGGTCCATCACACCAAACATTCCCAATGCAGTACATCTTTTAATTTCCTGGCTGCTGGTACCATGAGTGTTGGCTGTGGAGCCAAGCAAACTAAAGCTGTTAACAATCTCAATCTTTTCACCATCATGATGCCAATTACAGTTGGCCCAGTAGTGAGAATCTTTTTCTTGATGTTGAGCTTCAATCCATATTGAAGGTTGCAGTCTGTGAGCTTCTGCAGCAAGTGCATCAGGTGCTCCTTCAGCAGACAAGGTTGTATCATCTGCATAACACAGGCTGTTGATAAGTCATCTTCCAATCCTGATGCCACATTCCTCCTGATAGAGCCCAGCCTCCCGGAAGATCTGTTCTGCATATAGATTGAAAAAGTATGGAGATAGGACACATCCCTGGCATATACCCTTCCCAATTTTGCGTGTCATCCTTGCGCAGGGGCCATGCTAATCTTCTCTGTATCATTCCAATTTTAGTATATGTGCTGCCGAAGCGAGCACAAATTTTATTATTTGTTGTGCGTGTACTGTCAAATCAGATTTCATGGGTACAGGAGGAGATGGTCCCTCCTTCTCCAGCAGAGCATCTGGTGGATTAGAACAGCATACCTCTGAGATTGCAGTGCAGCTTCTTGCCACTAGGCCACCAGAGCTCCTCCCTTCCCAATTTTGAATCATGTTTCCTTCTCTGTTCTGATGACTGCCTCCTGGTCCAAGTATTGACTTCGCCTAAGCACAATCAAGTGTTCTGGGATTCCCATTCTTCTCAGAGTCATCCACAGTTTGTTGTGATCCACACAGTCAAATGCCTTTGCATAGTCCATGAAACAGAGATAGACATTCCACTGGTATTCTCTGTCTTCAGCTATGATCCATCTAATATTAGGTGTATATCCCTAGTACCACAGCCTCTTCTAAACTCAGTCTACACTTCTGGCATTTCTCTGTTGATGTGCTGGTCTAGTCGTGTTTAGATCATTTTCAGCAGAATCTTGCTTGCATGTGATATTAATGATATTGTTCGATAATTTCTGCACTCTGTCAGGGCACCTTTCTTTGGAATGGGAATATCTTCCAGTCAGTTGGCCAGGTGGTTGTCCTCCAGGTTTCTTGGGACAACTTGGTGAGCACATCTAGGGCAGCATCTGTTTGTTGAAATATGTAAATTGGTATACCATCAATTCCTGGGGCCTTGTTTTTTGCAAATTCTTTCAGAGCAGCTTGAACTTCTTCCTTCATCACCATACGTTGTTTCATGGAATTCTTCCGTGTCCACCAATTCCTTTTGATACAGTGTAACTGTCATAAATATTAACCTGGGGTATCATGTTTAATAATATTTAGTTGATTCTGCCTATGCCTAAGCATTTGCTACTAAATTAGCTTATTGTCATCAAGTAACTGACCTTCCTTTGGGTTTCTGAGGTTGTAAATTTCGTGGGATGAGTTTGCCCATCTTTCCCCTTCAGAACCACTAGTAGAGTAAAACTTTGGTTTAGCAGTGCAGCTCTGTGGACTATAGCAGAGCTCCCTTTCCACTGAAATTCTCTTTTGATTACTTTGTCTGGGAGAAAGAATGATCCTGTGTCATGTTTAGAGGAAGGTGAGTGTAGTTCAGACTCCAAGCCTTGTGGTTTTGTGCCAGTTTTCAATTGCTAGTGATCCCAGATGGGAGAGCAGAATTAATCCACAGTGTTTCTAGATTGTAATCATTACCAATAGACCAGGTCTTTCCCCTAGAGCAGGTAGTAGATCTGTACTGCCTGTGAGCTGTTAGACCACAAGGGCTCTCCATTCCTGACTTGGCTTAGGAATCTGGTTATAGTGCAGAAAGAAGGAGAAATTAATCAACAGGAAGAAAAGAGTGACTGAATTTAAGCAGAGGCACAAGGATTTGCTTCTTGAGTTAGCTAAATGTATATGGCATTGTATTTTGTACAGGTTGTCACAAAATGGCTATTGAATTAGGGGACAGAGAGGCCTGGGTTTGGAATTGACCCTGCCACTACACATCCAAGGCTTCTATTCCCCCAGATGTCCAAGAAAGGGCAGGTTCTTCAGTATAATTTTGGCAGTTAAATAGCCCCCTGCTTCATTTTGTAAGGAATTAAGCACCCAGTGGTCACCCACCAGGTACCTGCAGTGCTCCTCAGAAGTATAAGAGCCCATCACACCTTACCCCACATTTGCAGATGGCCTCAGTGGGGGATGGGTTGTCACCGGTTCACAACCACTAAATGTTATTTTCAGAGTGTCCACCCAATGAGGGCCCTTTATTCAAAATGATTGTCAGCGATTAGTGCCAAAGAATATCAAATAAAAACAGTTTCAATAAACAAATTTGTAACTAATGCATGGTTCTTTTGATGCTCACCTGCTTCCTTCTGCTTCTCAGTGCAACTTCAGCCAACAGTCAGAGGATCCCAGCTGCCCTAATGAACGGTACCTTCTGTACAGGGAATGGGCTCATCCTCGAAGCATATACAAGAAGCAGCCTTTGGACCTTATCAGGTGAGTTGTTGTAGAGAGCACACAGAGGGAAGCAGGAGAAAATGTCGCTGCATGTTCATGCTTGAAAACCACTGCAGAGTCTAACCCCATTGTCAGCCTGCAGAGTCAGAAGGGCACAAAGTCCAGACGTCCAAACAGCTTTGGACAGAGTGCTGAGTTATAGGTACTTTTCTGCCTGTCCCCCAGATGTGGGAACACAGTCGAACACTTACTTCTCTCAGAAAAAGTGCATTAGAACAGCACCTCTTTAAGATGTTATCTCTAAGGATGTGTGACCACTTGAACACACATGGTTTCCAAGTTCTTCCAGGAAGCTTCTTGAGGATCAAGAAGCAACAAGGAGAGAGAGTCCACCAAGTGTCATTCATGCTGGCACTTTACATTTTAAAATTGTTCTACTACTCTTACTATTTTTACTTATGTGGTACAGTTTTATAAGAAGGATGTAACCTTTGATTATACACCTAGATTTCAGACAATGTGTATACTCCTTTTATAGTAGATTTGGTTCGTATTAAGGGAGTGCTATGTTAGTTATCATTGAGTAATCAGATCAATTCCCTATGCCATGCATAGTTTATATCTTTGAACTTACAGTTTTCTACTACAAACATTTTAAAAAGTACCATTTCCTGGAATGAATTTATTCCCATGGAAAGGTTATATGTTATATGTTATAAGAATTTAGAATTATTGTAACTAAGATTATAGGAAAACATTTACCAAGTTTAATAGTTTGAAGTAGAAACTCAAATTTTTGTATTCCCCACTGCTGTTGAGTCTGTTCCAACTCATAGCAGGTTTACAAATCTTATTGCATTTTAATTCATTCGTAGACATTTTGGGTTATAGCATTAATTTAAATGGTTTATTGTAGTTAATTATAATGCCTAATCAGATCTTTACTGAATATCCTCTTTCCCTTCACCAATTGTGTAATAAGATATAGAGTAGGTGCAGATTGTTGGCCTGTGGTAAATTATTCCTGGATTCCACATTTGCAGACTTACTTCCTCTTTTAGTCCTCAAGTCTGTAGTCAATACTTGCACACTTTTGTGGTCATTTTGTAGATACAGACACGCTCAGAGCAACTACAGACTTGAGTCACCTGATGAGCGCATCCCCGCTGGCCTTGTACAAGTGGTGCTCACTCTTTGTATTTGTGATCTCATGATAAACAAGTGTTCTTTTCAGTTTACTTAGGGCCCTGATTTTCCCAGATCTGTGCTCCTTGTCGGTGATTTTAAAATGGCCCCAAGCACAGGACTGATGGACTGTTTAGTGACCCCAATTACCAAAAGGCTCTGATAATCCTTAAAGGGAGAAAAAAAAATATGCATGGATAAGCTTCATTCAGGCATGAGTTACACTGCTGTTGACTGTGATGTCACTGTTAATGGATCAACAGCATACATCAAATAAAATGTTTTGCTGGTTTTTTTATTGGTTTACATGTAATCATTCATATACATCATGTTTTGCACATATATTTTGTACAGTCATTTGTATATATTTTATGTAATTAATTACCATTAACCTATGCTTATATCACCCTGTCTTTTCAAGCCCCCATTAAACCTTTCCCTTTACTTCACACCCCCCCTCCACCCACTAACTCTGCTAGCCCAGTGAAGTTTTCCCCTTTTGCTGCCCTCCCCTTTTCCTTTTTTCAACCTCTATACACATCTTACTCAGTTACCTTCCTATTTTTACCATAGTAGCCTTATGCAATATTTGTCCTAATGTGACTGAGATATTTCACTCAATAAAATGCTCTCTACTCTCTTTCAAGTTATATTTTACAAAATTATTGCCCCTTCGTGCTGCATAGTATTATATTGTGTGAATGTACCACAGTGTCTCGATCCATTCCTTTGTTGAGGGGCATTAGACTGCTTCCATTTTCTTGTTCAAGTGAATAATGCTGCTATGAACTTAGGTATAGAAAAGAAGGTATTTTTAACTAGAATTACATATAAAGCAGCTTACATATTGATCAGTTGGTAAAAATATTATGACCAGAGGCTTTCCAAAGCCTGATGCTAAACTTCCCTTAGAAGCAATGACTCATTGTTCACTAGTTCAATATTCAAAGTCACATTATAAATAAAAACTACCAGGAATTATGGAATCACTTTAATATATTTTTTTTATTATTTTCCTTGTCTTCCCCCCCCTTGTCTTTCTAATAAGATATATTGACTGTGTGTGTATATTCTCAGATCATCGATGTCAACCATTCTCCAAGAGCCTTTGTTGTTTAAATATGGCTGGAAATGAGTACTAGAGAGAGTAAGAGACCAAAAACAAACAATTATTAAATAAATGATTGCCTCTGATCAAAATGAAGAAAAGAGTAATGTGATAAAATAGCTAGAAGTTGAAGAAGTTACCTCTAAGGAGGTGAAAGAGAAGTAGAGAACTGAACAGTGAGAAGTAATCAATAATTTGAGCATTTGGAAAATGTCATTCCAGGAATAGGGACAGCTTATATAATGGCCCTGTGTCACAAATGCACTTGGCAAATACTGAAGGCTCATACTAATGAAAACAAAATGGTAGGACTTGAAGTTATAAAGCCTAGTGGGCAGTTTATATCTTAGGTGCAGTGACAAGTGTCTTAGTTGTCTAGTACTGTTACCAAAAATCCACGTGAGTGATTTATCTGAACATTTATTTATTTTGTGACAGGTATGGAAGCTAAAGTCCTAATCACAGTTTTGGAAAATTACCACTTGAAAATTACCACATGAATCCTTCATGTACATATACCCCCCTCCTAGTTTCTGATGTCTGTGAGCAATCCTCCGCTGGTAGACAGATTACCTTGTGGCGTCATTTCATAGACACCACTCTGAACAGATTAGATTCAGGATCCACCTACTCTAATAATGATCTTCCAGCATAACAAAACCCCTATTCCAAACAGTGTCATATTCACATTCCAGGGGTTAGACTTCTACATTTCTTTGTAAGTTTGCAATTCAATCTGTGAAAAGAAGTCAGTGTACTATTTTAAGTACCCAACGATTTTATCTCATCCACATTTTACAAAGATATTGTGGAAAATGGGTTGTAGGGTTATGCAAGAAGCAGGAAGTCCAGGCTGAAGGCTTTCTAATGGTGTAGACAAAAGATTATGAGAATAAGTGATATAAGATGCCTTTTTGGAGTAGACTTGACAATACTGGACCTAGGGCGTGATTAAAATCAGGCTCCCTGGAGTCCATGTTGGTAAAATGCCTGTTCTCTATAGATGTCGAGCCTGTGTAGGTACTGACAAATTAGTAAATTCTCTTGATCGTAAAAGATTTTTTAAGCACTTTGGTAGTTTTGATTTTCGTATTATTATGGGAAAGTTAGCATAGTACTTCACTGATCTGTTGTTGAGCTCCCAAAATTATCAACTTTTAGTCTATTTTGTTTCATTTTTAATCCCTCATCTATTTCCCTTCCTCTTCAGTGCATCCTTTTGAAGCAAATTCCGAATATCATCTCATTACTATATAGTTCTAAGTGATTCAGTTTGCTTTAAAAATCAGAATATCCTTTTAAAAAAATACTAATTCCATAACATCCAATAATCAGTGTTCAGATTCCTCTAGTTGTCACAAAAACATTGTTTTAAAGATATCTTGGATAAAATCAGCATTTAAACAAGGTCCAGATGTTGCAACTAATGTATTTCTCAAATTTCTCTTAATCATTTTGCTCCATCCCCCTTTTTTTTTTTTGTATTTTTAAAGTGTTGCTATTTTATTTATTTTTTCTGTAGCTGATCCATCCCTTTTTTTGTTTTCCCTGCTAGTGTTTGAATTTCTTCAATATTTTGCTGATTTTATTATTTCTCTTGCTGAAAATGTTTCTCTAGTCTGTGCATTCCCTTTAAATAAGTCATTTGATCTCTGTCTAGGGACTTGCTCAGATTGAGATTTGGTTTTGTGACAGCAAATCCACTTCATATGTGAAGCTGTGTCCAGGTCGTCTCAGAGTTTATAAACATTCAAGTTGCCTTTTAATGTCATTCATATAAATGTATCCTTGCTTTGAAATGACCAAACTAACCCCTGTTGTTCATGTTATTATGTGCCAATAAGTTGGAACCAACTCATAGCTTGCCTTCCTTCCAGAGACTATAAATCCTTTCGGAGATTTTTTTCACTCTTCTCTACAGCCCCTGGTAGATTTGAACCACCAGTCTTTGGGTTGGCAGTACAGTGTCAGTTTGAGGTCTAAGGTGTGTCTGATTCAGGCCATCATCTTTCCGATTACTTGCTATGCATCTGTGAGCTGAACTATGAATAAGGATGGCAAAAGAATTGATGCCTTTGAGCTGTGGTTGTTGGAGAAGAGCATTGAACATCTCGTGGATGGCCAAGAGAAGAAACAAATATGTCTTGGAGAGGGTGCAGCCAAAGTGCTCTTTGGAGGCAAAGATGATAAGGCTTTGCCTCACATACTTTAGGCACATTACTAGGAGGGGTTATTCCTTGGTGAGGGACATGATGCTTGGAAGGATAGTCTGTCAATGAAGGAGAGGAAGACCCTTGACCCGGTGGACTGACACAGTGACTGCCACAATGGGATCTAGTGTGTCAGGAAGTGTGAGAAAGGCACAAGATAGGACAGGGTTCAGATCTGTGCATGGGGTCACAATGGGTCATAGTCAACTCAGTGTCACTTAACAACAACAGACTTTTGTGATCATAGCAGCCATCCAGAATCTTGACTTGAATTCATTGTTACCTTAGAGATGTGCCAAATAATAATATTCTAACCCCTTTCTTCTTCATTTATTAGTTAAATTACTTTCAAAAGGGGACAATTTCATTAACTTTTGAAAGCCTTATAGAAAAATGTTTTAAAATAGGCTGTTTATATCTCTGCAAATACTTGAAGTTAATATTCATGGTAAGTTTTCCTTTGATGCCTTTTTATTTTAAACATATAGGTGAAACAGAGTAGTCAGCTTGATGGGTTCTTAATGATTTTTTTTTAA